CCCCCACCCTGCCAGGTCATGAAAGCAGCACCTCATGCCCCCAGACGACTGTGCAGCTACAAAGACAAGAGGAGGCTCAAGAGTACTGGGACGGACGGGCAGAACGGGGAGCAACGTACCCCCACATGCGTACGCGCCTGCCCACGGGGTCTGCGCTAACCTACAGACTGTAAGGACACGAACTATCCCTAGAGGACCCTCAGCAAACTCCAGGGATGGGACTGAGTCACTGGGGGACAGTGCTGGACAGATAACTGCTCCCACTGTCCACCCTTTTCGACCTTTTCAATTCTTCTGTCCGTAGATAATAAGGGACCATTTGAAAGATGAGGACCCTGCCCACCAATGCCTGCTTTCCGTCAGAAGCCCACACACCCTTCCGCCTTTGATTTACAAGTGCCCCCAGTGTCTGCAGCCCAGAGAGCCCACCGGGGCCCCACCAGGGCCCAGGGAAACTTACCTCCATCTCCTCGTCATAGAAGTCCTCCTCATCCTCCAGGTGGTCTCCTCCCACGGAGCCCCGGCCCCTGCCTCGGCCGCCCCGGCCCATGCCTCGGCCGCGAGACCCTCCTCGGCTGCCTCGGCCCCTGTAGCCCCTACCGCGGCCTCGGCTGCCTGTGAGGAGATTCAGACAGGTGAGCAGGAGTGGAAGTGGGCTGACCACCGACACGCAAGTCAACTGAGGTCTGCCCTGAGCCCGGTTGCTGTCCTCCTCCTCCGGGAAGTCTTCCAGCCCCCACGATGCGCACCCGCTGCAGTGCTCGCTGAACTACTTCACGGGGCCTGCCCACCTGGCCCAGTGCTGCCCAGCCCCACACAGCTCCTGAGCACGGGGCACGTGGCTGGTCTACACTGAGGGACTCTGCGAGTGGAGAACACACGCCGGGTTCCAGAGATTTAGTATAAAAAGGAAAAAGTCTATCTTATTGGTATGTTTATATGTGAATTTCTTCCAGTTCATGAAACCCATCCACCTTAGGTGACCCCGCTAGTGTCTGAAATACTAGTGGCAAGCTGCCAGCATCAAAGGGACACGGGTGGCTAGAGGTCCGAATTCAGGGGCTGGCTCGAGGGGCGGGCCGTGCTTTGTCGGCTCTGAGGAAGTCCTTGTCTCCTTCACCCTGGGCTCCCGGGCTGTCTTCACGGGGCCTGGCATCTGTATTCCCCCATCTCTGCTTCTTTCACTTGTTTAATCTCTTTCACATCTCAAGAGACTGATTTAGAACATGCCAGACGCTAATCCTGTCTCATTAATGTACCATAGACAGTTCATTAGCAAATGGGATCATAACCACAGGTTTAGACCTAACAAAGCCACCATCATCGAGTTGATCCCGACGCTTATCGACCTCAGAGGGCAGGTTCCCAAGGCTATGAACCTTCACTCTTCATGGAAGCTGCCTGCCACATCCTTCTCCCATGGAGCTGCTGGTGGGTTTGAACTTGAAACCTTTTGGTTGGCAGCCAAGCACCTCAACCACCATGCCACCAGAGCTCCTGCATACGCTACAGAGATTAGGGTTGACAACATGTATTTTTGGGGACCCAATCCAATCCCTAGCAGTGACCCCACATCTGAGTAAGGCCAAGCTTACAGGGTTCTCACGGCTGAGGTCTCAGAAGTGGACCACCTGGCCTCCTTCTGAGGCCTCTCTGGGTGGACTGGAGCCTGCATCCTCTCGGTTATCAGCCGAGCACTTAACTGTTTCCAACACCCAGGTGCATTAACATAAGCATGTTTATACCTACTACACATTGAAGTGATAAGACTTTGATTGGTGTTATTAAAATTAATCGCCACCTGCTCTGATGGTATAGTGCCTAAGGCATATGACTCCTAACCAGAAGGCTGGCGGTTCAAACCCACCAGCCACTCTTCAGAAAGAAGACTGGACAATCTACTTCCATAGAGGTACCACCTCAGAAACCCAAGAAGGGGTGCTATGAGTCAGATCCGACTCGACAGCTCTGAGGTTTTAGTGAGGAAAGAATTTGATGTTAAAGTAAGGAGTTCTGGTGGCATAGTGCCTAAGGTATTTGACTGCTAACTAGAAGGTTGGCGGTTCAAACCCCCTGGCCACTCCTCAGAAGGAAGACTGGGTAATCTACTTCCGTAGAGATACTGCCTTGGAAACCCACGGAGGGCTCACTATGGGTCGGAACCAACTCGACATCAGTGAGTTTTTCTTGATTTCCTTTCACTTTTTAATGTGCTACTAAAAAACTTAACATCTCGTGGTGGCGTGCCTTCAACTTCCACCGGACAGCCCTGGTCTCAGAAGCTCCCCAAGAGCAGAGCCTGTCCCAGAAGGGTGCACAAGAACTGCTGAGAGAAACACCGAACGGCCACAGAACGCCACACTGGGCCTCGGGCAGTCCCAAGCTCCCCTGTTCTACTGGGAGTTCTACTGGAAGGTTCCAGAAGCCCCCTGGGGCCATCCTTCTAGCAGCAGATGGTTCTAAGAGGTCAGGCTGGGTCGCTGCTCTGCCCCTGCCCCTCCCCCACCACGCTCCTAACTGCCACAGGTCAAGGTTCAGAGGCTCGGTAGGCACCACCGGGAACTACAGTCACACCTTGCCAGGTGAAGGGAGCTGGGCGGGTGTGGGGAGGGGCTGTGGGGCCAGCAGCCAGTTGTGGGTCACCCCGGCCCACTTCTCTCTTCCCACAGCTCACCAGTAACAACTGATTAGGGAACAACCCTCCCGTTGCTGGGTGCCAGCCAGCCAGTCAGTGACTCTGACCCCGAGTAACCCCCGAGTAACCTGTGTGACAGAGCAGAACTGCCCCACCGGGTTTTTGAGGCTGGAATCTTCACAGGCAATTAGCAAGTCTTTTCTCCCATGGAGCCACTGGTGGGTTCAAACTGCTGACCTTTCGGTTAGCTGCCAAGCACTTAACCAGCACGTCACCAGAGTTCCACGGGGCAGGGCTGACCAAAACTCCACTGTCACTGAGTCAACTCCAACTCCCAGCGCCCCCAGAAGAACTGCCTCACAAGGTTTCCGAGGCTGTAGTCTTTATGGAAGCAGACCGCCACCTCCCTCTCCTGCCAGGCAGCTGACGGGCTTGAACCGCCCAGCTTTCAGTTGTCAGACAAGGGCTTTAGCCACTGCTCCACCGGGTTTAGAGAGGTGTTAAAGGTCAGGCCAAAAGGCAACTTTTCTTGGATTCCATCAGAAGACGCAAAAGAGGCACAAGGACGGCGCTTCCCCCGTGCAGGTCAACGTGGTTCACCCCATACGTGGGTCCCACCCACACGGAACCATCAACAGGTGGCAGTGGTGGTGGGGTCAGGTGCCGTCGAGTGTCTCCGACTCATCAACAGGTAGTTGCGGTTGTTATGCCCAAACCCGGAAGTGAATTTTATCACAAAACCACTCGTCCAGCAGCCCCGTTGCCCTCACGCCGGCCTGTTTCCATCCCAGCCTCTCCCCACCACCCCTGGGGCCCCCACGCACCAGGTGTGCAGCTCCCTGCCCTTCTTGGTCTCAGCCCTGAGCACCACCTGTTCACCACTCCCACAGGACTTGAGGATGTGGGAGGACAGGCCCACCGGGCTATCCCCCTCGGCCACACCCCCAGCCCGGGCCTCGAGCCTGGCAGCCACACCCCCACCCCAAACACGGCGCCAGGCAAAGACCCTTCTTGCATGAGAGGCCCCTGGGGCCTCCCCTGGGCGCTCACCTCGGCCGCGGCCACTGCCCTCCTTGGCCCGCCGGTACTGGTTCAGCTCTTTGGTGAAGTCGTCATAGTCCTCCTTGCCCAGGTCCTCCTCCTCGTCCCCCTCATACTCCCCATACTGCTCGCTCTCGTAGTCCTCGTACATGCCGTAGCCCTTGCTGTCCATCTTGGAGTAGGACTTCTTGGGCAGGGACGTGGGGTGCGATGAGGGGTACTGCTGGTGGGACTGCCGGGCCCAGAGAGAAACAGGGGGAGGGGCTGAGCAGGCTGTCCTCTGGGTTGGACCCCCAAGACCCCTACTGTTCCCTGAATGGACATGTCTGTGTCCTGTGGCTCTGCTGTCCGCTGCGTCACGACAGCGACCCGCTGTCCTTCTGGGCACCGTTTCCCCCAAAAGGGGCAGACATTTCTCTTCTTCAGAAAGAGCCACGGCTTGAAAGAAAACTGTGAAACACAGTCCCTTGTCCCTGAAGAACTGTGGGGACGAGAAAGGCTACTTCCCAGCGAGGGCCAGGAAGCACACTGGGGAAGGCCAAGCAGGATCTAGGCTGCTCCTTGGTCATGTCTCCTGGGGCCTTGGAGTTCAATGAATGGCCTGCTAGGCAGCGAGAAAGCTATTTCAAAGGATGCTTTCTGTCGTGTGCTAGTGCCAAGTGGTACTGGGTGGAGACAGGTAGGTAAGTAAATAGAAAGACAGAAAGAAAAAAAGACATTAGACAGACAGATGGACAGAGAAAGAGAAAAAGAAAAGCTGCCATCAAGTCTACCCTAATTCATGGCAACCTCATGGACGTCAGAACAGAATTGTTTTCAACAGCTGGTTTTTCAAAAGTAAGTTGCCAGGCCTTTCTTCTGAGGCACTCTGGGTGGACTTAAACCCCTAACCTTTAGGTCAGCGGCCCAGTGGACTAACCACACGCGCCACCCAGGGCTCCCAGAAAGACACACACCCAGGACTCAGCAGATCTAAATCCCTCGATATCCAGTTCAGTCAAGTGAGCCATGTGCCCTCCACCTCGGAAGGGGCAGAGGCCCCTGCAGCTTCCAAGCCTGAAGCTCGTTAGCGCATCAACCTCAACCGTAGTGTTTCGTAACCAACAATCCACTGTGGTGAAGGATGCCAGGTCCCAGGATACCTGGGACGGTGCTGAAGAGCTGCTAACTTTAAGAAAAACATCTCTTACTTGAAAGCCAGGAGCTCTGGTAGCATAGTGGCTAAGGCACTTGACTGCTCACCAGAAGGCTGGCAGTTCAAACCCACCAGCCACTCCTCGGAAGGAAGGTTGGACAATCCTACTTCCGTAGTGATACTGCCTCGGAAACCCAAGGAGGGGTCGCTATGAGTCGAGGCTGACTCGACGGCACGTAACAACAACAACTTGAAGGCCAAGTTGATTTTTTTTTCCTTTCAGCTTTTACTGGGGAAGGAAGGAAGGGACAGTACACCAGCTGAACGAAGTACTAAAATGTACATGCCAGCCCGGCGCGAGCTAACGAGGGAACTATGTCAGTTCTCGACAGGACACTTGAGATGACTGACTCCCGTGACCATTTCACCGTCTGGCCAAGTTTCCACAAAAGGTCATTTCTGAACAGTGGAAAAGAGGCAGCTCTGATGCAGACAACCAGCACCCTTCTCGGACACACGGAGGCCTGCCAAGGCCACAGAAGAGGCGGCAGAGAAAGGGGTTAGAGGCGTGGCTCATGGAGACCAGCCACTACTGCCCTGGTTCGAATCCCAGCTTCTCCCCTCACACCTGTGCAACCTGGTGGACATGTTCCAAGCCCTGGTTTCCTCACCTGTGAAACGGTGATAAGAACAATCTCTAACCTCGCAGCACTCTGTGAACGAGGGAGACACAAGAGCGTGAAGGAGCCCACTCAGCTCAAGCATCCAGAGTGGGCAGACGGAGAGAGAACAAAGCCCCTCAGTGGTTATGAGGTGGGGGAGAGGAAGAGGGGGTGCTTAGTGGGCACTGAATCCCTGTGAAGCGTCATGAGGGATGTGGGAATGAGCCCCAGTGACGGGTGCACGGCCTGGTGAACCAGTGCCCCTGAACCAACTGCACGTGTGAAAACAGGGTAACGGCCAATACTGTTCCGTATGTCACACCACAGTGAAAAACGGAAATAAACCACCACAGAAGCCTGTGTGCAGCAGCGCTGGGGACTCACCGGCACGTACGGGGGGCTGTACTCCCTGAACTTGCGGTGCCCCTTCTCGCTGGGGCTGAAGTCGGAGTCATCGGAAAAGTCCGAGAAGTCGTCACTGGAGGAGGCATGGCGCTGGAACGACAGGGCAAGTGGACTTGGCCACTCAGCTGCAGGCCGGCCGGCCGGGCCTCACCACGTCGGCAGTGCCAGCCCCGGGACAAACAACACTGGAACATGCCAGAAGGGCCCTGGGCTCTACCTCAAACACCTCCCCCAGGGGCAGCGAATGGCAACAAAGCATGAAAAAAAAAAACAAAACTGTCTTTATCCAAAACCCACTCCTGAGTGCCCACAGGGGCTCGCGGCAGCCCGGCCTGAGCCCTCGGGACCTACTTTGTGCTTGGACTTCCTCCTCTTCTTGGACCGCCTCTTCTCCTTCTCCCGCTCTTTCTTCCGCTTCCGCTTCAGCCGCCGGTGGGCCTTCTCCTCCTCCGAGTCACTGTGGCGCTTCTCGCCCTTTTCTTTCCGGCTCCTCTCCGGCCCCCCGGAGGCGTCCTGGGTCTCCTCGGCCCCATCATCTTCAAGTTCACCTTCTTCCAACTCCCCATCTTCCCTACAAACCAACCCAGAGCCGATGTGAACGTGGGGGCTGGGAGGAGCAGCTGGTGGCTTTGGCCTCGCCCAGGCTGACAGGAGCAGAGGCTGTGCACGAGAGCGGCCGTGAGAGCCCTGCAGCCCGTCCCCCGTCCGCCTCCCAAAGGGACCGTGTCCAGCCGGGCTGGGGGGGAGGCAGAGGCTGAACCACTAACACCTGGACAAATGGAACCAGTACCTCCCACAGGGCTAGTGCTCTGCAGACGGGGTCTGTGGTCCAGTGAGCTTAGGTGATCCCTGTCTGGGGACCTTGGCCTGCACGATGCCATCACAAAGTCCCAAGAAGCCCACAGAGCTCTGCTCAGGGCACCTGTGAAACTCACTGGACCACAGAAATGGCTTCTCTCGGGGACCCCAAGGTGTGTCCCTCACAGGGCACAGGATGCACGAGGCTCGGGGTTGCCTGCTGGGCCCCAGCTGCAGGAGGCGCCTGCAAGCTGGCTGTCATTCCACCTGCAGGACGTAGGGCAGCTGTGGACAGAGTGGAGCAAGCTGTGGTTCTGACCTGGGGTGGCCCTCAGGCTCCTGCCAACCCCCCACCAGAGAGACTCTCACTGGTGGGCCTGGGCTGTAGCCTGCAAACGCAGAAACACTTTACAAAAGCCCCGCTAAGAACACCAGTGACCAGGCCCCCACGTTCCTAGGACTGCCCCACCCAGTCAACTGTACCCCTCTGGGCCGGAGGCGGAAGGGAACAGGGCCCAGGCCATCATGACTTGGTCCTCATGACTCGACCACGGCAGGTATCATCCCACCTCACCTGCGGCCGACCATCCCTTCCCTCCCTCCTGTTCCCCACCTGTCTCCCCATCCTACTTTCCCAGACTTTGTCTGCTCTCCTCCCATCATCCCAATCTCTAAGACTTAAAAAAAAAGACCCAAGTCTCCGCTGGGCACCTAGAGGGTGTGTGTTTGGGGGAGGGGGTTGGCAAGGGTTCAGACGGGAGCCGCAGGCTAAAGAACCCACTTTCTGAGCCAAACCCACACCCTTGTCACAAGTACAGCAGTTGGTTAAAAACAAAAATAACAACAACAACAAAAAGTTTCTAAGTCCTCACGAATGATCACGGAAAGGGAAAGTTTCGGGTGAAAGTATAAAATTCCTCCTGCTGCAATTCATCAGGACGCCCAGGGACCCAGAAGAGAAAGTCAGGAATAACACTGTGAATTCCGGCTCCAGAAGGCTAACAGCTCCCCACTCAGGAGGGGCCGAGGCTGCCCCATAACGAGCTAATCAGGCCAGCCAGTCCCCGCAGGCCCCGGAAGGGCTCTGTGGAGAAACTTGGAACCAACCAGCCGTCAGAACTCTCGGGGCTCTTCCCGGCCGCCTCGATGCTGCCCCCACAACGGGCTTCAAGAGGCACATCTCTACCAGCGCTCACTCCCAATTCAAAGGGGACGGCAGGTCTGGCTTCATCCAGGGAGCTCACCACCCACTCCCACCCCCCAGATACCCCAGGCAGAGGTCAAGGGCAGCTCTCAAGACACAGACTCCTTCCGATGTTGAAAAGGAAACGAGAGGGGACCAACTTGTCTCCCACGCGGTTTCCTGGTAAACTGCGTGGCCACCCTAGGCAGGGGGGCTGGGTGCCTGGGAGAAGCCAGTACTGTGGCCGAGTGAGGCACCTCCTGGCGCGGGTGCGGCCTGCCGAACAAGTGCAGAGCAGGGTCCCCACTGGAGGGGGGCACCACCGCCGGGGTGTGCCCCGCCCCAGTGAAAGCACCCCGACCAGAGGAGCCGGCCCCTTCTGGCTCACCAGCCCCAGTGGGGAGCCCGTGGGTGGGCAGCTTAACGCCTGTGATAGGAATGTGGGGAGGCAGAGCCAGGCAGCCAGCCAGCCAGCCAGCCATCATGGCACCAAGAAGGCCCCGAAAAGGCCCTGGGAATAGAAGTTCACCTGCACTGCTCTCAACTGTTCAGGGTGTAAAAGGAAACGCTGAAAGGGGACCTGGAGCAGGGAGGGAGGTGGGCAGCCCCTCTGGAGGTAGGAACAGCCAGACCCCCCAGAAAACGAGGTTAAATACACCCCAGGGCGGCAGAGAGTGGAAGACTCCACTGGAGGGACTTGAAGGGGAGAACGTGAAGGGAGCTCTTGGGGGCAGACAGCCGGGGCACGGCACGGTGAAAGCTGGGAACTGCCTCACTCCCTGACCCCAAACCCACAACTGGGGGAGACAGAAAGAGAACTGGGGACCACTTATCGTCTGCCCACTCCCGCCCCCCACCAAGCCAGGAGCCAGCCAGTGTCAGCCCCACTACGCAGACCGGGACACTGAAGTTACGGGAGGTTTGGGGACCTGCTCAGTGGTGTCCAGGCCCACGTGTTTCACTGAGGCCTCAACAGTTTCCTGAGCACCACTCAGTGCCAGGGGCTCAGCCCCTCCTGGTCTGCATCTTCCTTACAGGTCAACGACGCAAACAACCGTCCCCCTGATAAATCGGGGCCTGCTGACCGGACCAGAGTGGGGCGGGGTCCCCAGCACCCCTCACCTGTGTCTTCTCACTGGGAAGCAGCGGCAGGTCCTGCCACTGAGACTTCCACCCAGACGTGATGCCCCACGCTGGCCTGGACCAAGCACATCTAACACCGGGGGGGGAGGGGCGAGACCAGCCGAGGAATCCAAGAGCTTCCTCAAAGACGCTTCCAGGAGAAAGCCCTGCCAGTCACAGCACCCACCAAGCAGGAGTCCAGCACCCCCATCTGCCCCAGGAGGACCTCTAGGCAGAGAGAGCCCCATGTCAACCACCTCAACAGCCCCACGCATTTCTGGGGCTCAGGGAGACTCACTGGGCCTACTTTTTAAAAATGGGGAAGAGAGACTTGGAACTCTTTTCTATGGAGTTGGGAGAGGCTGAAAAAGGATTCTAAGAATAGAGTTGCTGGTGGCTTCCGAAGGAGGAGAAATGGGCACTGGAGGGGATGGAGCCACCTCAGGGATCACTGTGTGTCCTCGGGCCACGGGCTCACCATGCTTCCGACCGCCTCAGGGCAGGAGCTGGGTGAGGGTGCCCTGATTCAATGGGGATGCCCTCCCAGCTGCCGTCGAGTCTGACTCCAGGCAACGCCACGTGTGTCACTGGAGACACGCGTGCTCCACAGGCTTTTCAATGGCTGAGATCTCTAGGGTGGGGGTCCCCGGGACTTTCCTCCTCAGTGGACAGAACCACCAGCCCTCCAGGTAGCAGCCCAGCGTGTTAACTGTTGACACTACCCAGGGACTCCTGCGTGACTAAACCCAACGAAACCTGCTGCTGTCACGACTCATAGTGACCCTACACAACAGACTGGAACCACCCAGAGGGTTCCCACGGCTGTCAGTCTTTACAGAAGCAGACTGCCTGGTCTTTCCCTGCAGAGCAGCTGGTGGGTTTGAACCGCCAACTGTTTAGTTTGCAGCAGAATGCTTAACCACTGCGCCACTAGGGCTCCTCCCTGCATGACGACTGGGGTCTTATTACCTTCTGCAGTGTACAACAAAAGAGGAAAAAAAAATCAGAGGAACTAGAAGCGAGGGTAGAAACACTGCAAGTCACCAACACCACTGCCCAACGGCCGCCTGCACTAAGAGCAACCAGGTCTCAACAGCCACTTAACAGCCTGCCGGCGCAATCCATGTCGGTGCGGGATTAAATACCGGAGGGAGCACACTTAATAGACTGTGACATAATCCCCCAAGAAGAGTGGGGAAGCCCCACTGCGCTAATCGTCCTCATCTAGGCCTGCCAAGCCCTCTTGAGACACACGGGCAGAGAAAAGCCTGCAGGGGCAGCCCGGGTAGAGAGGGCTTGACGTCGTCGGGGTGTGCACTGGCACGGCCCTGGGACCTGTCTGAGTCATGGGGTGGGGAGTGGACAGGAAACCACCCCTTGTGGATCCCATTTGGAACCAGCCCCCAGGAGGCAATGTTCTGCCTCGTGCATTCCGGATGAAGTTTCTAGCATGCTTCTGGCGCCATTTTCAGAGTCATGGCCAGCCTTTGGCTTGTCCTCTGAGGTCAAAGACCCCACTTCGACACCCACTGCAAAGGAATGGCTACTGAGTCAAGGTCACAAGGCAAAGAAGTGCGCTGGGCTCATCAAATACCTCAGACTTGGCAAAAACAATACCCAGTAAAGAAACCCTATGACCCCAGAGGAAGCTGGCAACCCCACTGTCCTTGGCATTTGGGCACCAGGCTCCTTGCTCCCTCCTTCTGCAGATGGACATGCCCCAACTGTCTATGCCTCTTCCCCATCCCAAGAGTGGAGCGTCCTCTTGGCACCTAACCTGAGTCTTGCCTTTCTCAGCTTAGGATAGGATAACAGCAGCACCTAACTCAAGTGGTCGTAAGAATTCAAACAAAGAATACAGATAAAGTCCTTGACATGTGGGTCAGGGACAACGTTGTTGTTGCATGCCATCAAGTCAGTTTTGACTCACGGTGACCCCATGTGACAAAGAACTGCCCTCACGGGGTTTTCTAGGCTGCAGTCTTTATAGAAGCAGACCACCAGGTGTGGGGTGGGGTCGAATTGCCAATCTACTGGTTAGCAGCCAAGTATATAACCGCGGCACCACCAGGGCTTTCTGGGCACAAAGTGAGGACACAGGAAATAGCAGCTACTGTTTTGAGAACCACCAGCTCGAGCATGTGTCTCCATGGAGAACGCCAACCAGCCGTGGTGCTCAATGGGAAGGAAGCATTTTCTCCAAGGGGAAGGCACAGTCAACTCTTCTTAGATGGTGCTGCTGACTGCTGGCCAAGACGTCCCCTCCTCACTCAGCCCTACCGCACTCTGCACCATCACCTCCCAACAAACCTGCTGGCAGAACTGAGAGACGGACAAGCCCCCTTTTTCAGCTCTTGTAGGAGGGGCACCAGAAGGGACAGGGAGAGCTGGCCCACGGGAACATGGGCCAAAGACGCCTTACGGAAACAAAGCTTGGTCACATGGAAACTTTCCAGACAAGAGACTAA